TAGAAGATCATGCATGACCTATGCTACCATCTAGAGGGCATTAACAGATATAACATACCACTGCAGGAGTTATTGTTGGTGGATCAGCAAGTTGACTGGATATGTGCAATAGAAATAACTTATCAGACCCCATCACACTTATACTTTCATAAAATCATGTATCATGACAAACATATCCAACATGTAATACTACACTCATTTAATCACAAAGAATTAAATTAATAATGGCTGTGTTCCATTTTTCTGATATAGAAGCTTTACCTCCCACTTCCACTACTGCTGATCTTTTTTATTGATAGGTTTTTATATTGATAGATTTTACTGGCAGAGTTTTCAGTTAGACTGATGACATTGGAGAAACAGAAGGTTTAATATATTACATGTGGAAAGCTTTTATTTACAAACTAGGCAAACACATTTTTCAATAAGCTGGTAGGTGTTTGTTGTGTGTGTTTTATGTTACTTATTGTTGAAAATGGATGAACAAGAATGACATTTCTATAAATATAACTATAACAATAGCCCCTCACAACATTCACCTGTGACCTATAAAGAAAGTCTTTGTGGTGTCTGTAGACAAAAAGCCATATGCCTTAACAACGAAAAATAAGTTGAGACAGGAATCAATGGAAACATGGTGATAGGTTGACAGATAATCACCAAGTTGGTTTTGAGCAAATTTGGCCAATATGGTTTATTTAATATAGTGGACAAACTTTGTTTGTTGAGGTCCATCACCATGCAAAGAGAGATGTTTGCAGCCTAAATCAACAGATAATTCAGTGGGAACTTTTTGATTGCCCCATCTCAAATAATGAACACATAAATGATCTAATTTTGGTTAATTCACAATATCATTGTCTTTCCTCTGAGAAATAATTAGGGGGTGGAATTGGGTTTTAATTGTGTGGTGTCAAAATTGCACTGCTTCTAGATTGATCAGCAATTAAACAACAATTTTCAAAAATCAGGTTATTTCAAGATAAAACAACATATCTGATAACCCAATAGTTATCAAAAGTTAAGTTGCAACAGCTAACATTCACAGTCAACCAATTCCTAGCTAACACTACTGTTAGCAATAACTTGGACATTTTAGCCAACATTTCCACTCTTACATCACTGTTAGCTAGGATGTGACTGCTTATGTTAGTTAAAACCTGACCCAAATGTTTGGTAACAACTCACAACTCTTTGAGCTCATTTGTAGCCGATACTTTATCGTAAACACTGATTTATATAGGTAAAGAGATAGGTATAGATTTTGTGGTCAAGATTATATAGCTAACAAAGGAAATACTGAAAGTAGAAGTAGCCTGACAATAAAATGTTGTTGTTTTTGGTTTTGTTTGTTTTTTGTTAGGCCTACAGAAGGGGAACTTCTACTCCTTCGGTTGTCTGTTAGGGTTCATTAAAGAGTCAAAGTAGCATTTAGTTGTCGTTGATGACCTTTATGTGTTTTGCCCTGAGCTTCTTTCCCTTGCCTTATGACGTATTTGTGGAGGGAGGTGTGTGTGTGTGTGTGTGTGTGTGTGTGTGTGTGTGCTGTCTGTGCAGGCATGCAAGAGCTAAAGGGGGAAAAGGCAGGGAGCCATTTAAAATTCAGATTACAATTAGAAGAGTTACAGAGCATCTATCAATCAATTGAAATGCTTCAACTGTTTGAGCAAAAACGGCTAGAAAATGAGTTCATGGTTATAAGGCAAACAACTGTATTGTGCTATACCAAAGATAAGTGTGACAGAGAGACATACGTTTAAACATCTTTCCAATCTTTCGGAAGTCCTTCCTTTAATTGTTCTCCAAACTAGTGTGCAAAGGGTAGTTAAGGTTCTCATGCCAGCCAAATATGTTGCAAACTTAAAATGTGTTAGTTCTGTCCTGTTTGGGGTTTTAGAGTATTTACAGAGGGTAAAAAGATCAAATGAAAAACAAACAAACAATAGCCTATATCTTGTGTGCCACCACAAACCTCCAGAACAGCTTAAATTCTAGTGTCTGAATTTAAGTCGACACAACAGTTTTTCCAATACTCCAAATATGCCCTCAATGATTGGGCCCTAGACTGTATAGTATTATTTACAGTCTATGATCTGGCCACAATAAGTCATAACATGTGATTCAATTTGGTTTTATATGCAAATTAATTCAGTGTCTCCTTGTTTCATCTTACCTGTTTTATTCAGGTGCTTTTGTCATTTTTTCTATCTGCCTGAGTATCATATTATTTTGTTGTTCCCTTTATTGATTGTTTCCCATCTAACGATCACATAACAACAAAAAAAAGCCTCACTCGGGCATGATTAGAGGTGTGACCTCAGTCGAAGTCAAGTCACGAATCAGATTACTCATCTGTACAAAATGGTGTGATGATGAACAATAACCTAAAGTAAAACTAAACCCTGGTAAAAGAAAAAAACATTACATTAGAACAATTTAAATAGCCCTACATTTGGCAAATGTTTATTTTGGACTTGAAACACAGAGTTTAGGACTAGATTTAGGACCTGTTGTTAGTCCTGATCTGGGACAAAACGATGACTTTGTCACACCTGTGCCTTGCCCTCATGACCTGCATGGAACAACAAGACTGAAGAGGTTCAGTGAACATCATTCACTTCTTAATATCATTCGTTATAACACTAGTAGGCCTATGGTGATTTCAAAAATGTGTATTAGGCTACGTGATTCTTTTGGGGGGGATTTGTTTTAATGTTATTGATTTAAAAAAATAAAATGTTTAGGATCCGTTGATAATCATTTCGCTTCAAAGAGGGCGCCTCTCCCCTTCTGTACCTCTGCTTCATGACGCTCCGGGCAATCATGTGATCCGAGCCTGCTTCAGTCCAGATCCGTCAAGCCACAGCAAGGAGGAAACCGGAAAGATAGTAATCTTTGCTTCAAAGTAAAATCCCAACATTCCTCCATCTTATAAGTGGAAAGACTTGTGATTCTTTTGATATGTATTGATCCATTTGTTTTTATCTTGATGTAGGCTATACTCACATTACATTATATTATTCTGTTCAAATTGACCTTTTTTGAGAATTTAAGTCATTTAAGCATTTTATTGAATATTGTATAATGTTGTATTTAATCTTTCATATTTAAGACTAGAAGTAATGCTAAGTTAAATCCTGGATGTATAAATTCTCATTCTTAGTTTTTATATTTTTAGTGCTTAATTACTTACTGTATTTAATACTATATTGTGTTTATTTGCTAACATTGTGTGTTTGGATAACCTGCTGCTGCAACGCCACAATTTCCCAGTTTGGGATCAATAAAGTAATTCTATTCTGTTATAGGCCTTTTAGAATGTTTATATGTGTATAATTTAGAATCAGAAATACTTGAGTACTCAATACCTGAGGAAAATATGGCATTCATTTCCCATATTATTGTTATACTTAGGCCTATTGGTTATTTGTATATCACCATGAAAATAAATTCTATAAATGATTAGATTTCTCAATGATAAACAATGTATCCATATAGCTTTGTTGTGTTGAATCCTTTCTCAAGAAGCAGAGTGCAAGTTAAGCATCTTTACTTTAGTTATGAACTATAATGGTCAGTGTTGGGGCAAGTTGAGAATGTAATGAAATATTTACACTAGTTACTAATTTTAACTTTAAACTATATTACATTAAGTTGATGCTATGGATATGTAACTTTTCAGATGAAGACATTACAGAGTATGGAATAATACAAATGCATTGTGACAAAGATTAAACCAGTAGAGAACAAACTGAGAATAAACACATCTTATTAGTTTTGCACCAATTCATAAAAAAATGTTATCTCAAGACACTTGGCAGAAAAGAGCAGGTATCCACCGTTCTCTTTGTAATATTATTTACTAAAGATCCAACATTTATCCTCCACGAGCACAGCACTAAGCAACATTTAATAAAGTAACAGGGGGGCAAGGAGAAATTGCTCTTTAAATTGCAGAAACCTGAAGTAGAACCAGACTCATGTTGAACAGCCATCTGCCACAACCTAAGAACAGTTGAAGTTTGGGCCCCTTGTCACAATAAAGATGGCTAAAGCTTAGTCACAGGTTCACAGATTTGCAAAAAAGGCCCCTCTTGAATTGTTCTGGCTTCTCATGTGCTTTTATTATTTTATGGTTGTAGCCTTTTCTTCCCCTCTTGTCCTGTGATATACATATTTAACAAGTCAAATTTAAGTGCTTTACATTGTTGTATAATTTTGAGTTATTGTTTATATCTTAATTATCAATATATTATTTATTTGATCAACATTATGTCATGAAGTCATACAGTTATATATTTTGGTCAAACCATCCTCTTTATTTGAACACTGAACCCTTTTGTTTAAAGAAATATCACATACTTTTGAATTGTCAATCGGCTTAACTATTTTTTTCAATGTAAATTCCAGTTCCTAATATGTTGTTTTAATTGTACCATTCTTTTATGACCTCGAAACCATACCTGGCAATAAACCTATTTTAGATTTATAATTCAAAATTTAATTTGGGAAATCCTTGTCTTGAGTTATAAGTCCTAGCCTGAAAAAGTTAGTGACTTTTGTCTGTATTATCTTGGTTGGTCCAGTGGTCCTCTATTGGTCTAGCCTCAGGAGCTATAAGACCAACTCCATCATGAAAAGCTGTGACCCAAATTTTCAGATATTTTTCAACCGATCCGATTTATTAAATGAAAAATGTGCAGTTTGGACCTCAGACGATACAAATAGTTTTACAGAACAAATAAATTGGAAGAAAATAACATGTTTATTGTAACATCCGCGCTTCATAATGATTATATAGCCTACTTTTTGGAGAGTTTTTTTTCAAGACACACATTCGTCACCAACTAAAAACGGTTCTGCGACCCACTTTAAGGTCCCGACCCACCATTTGAGAACCACCAGTCTACGCTAGGAACTGAAGGGGGGCGGGCGGGGGACACTAGGGCTTTATTGTGAAAGTTCCGACCGGAAGTGAAAATTCTTGTCTACTGGCGCTTGACCAGCCTTCTTCGTTCCCTGGGTTCCGTGAGAGTCGTTTTGCCCCACCCCACCTCTTCAACGCTATCTATCTCAATGTTCAATCCTGAGAGAAAAAGGGGGCAAAAATAATTTCAGTGTAACACCGCAAAGAAACGATTCTCATCCCCTCCGCCGGTTCGCCGGAGCAGACGCGGCCTCTCGGCGGGTATAAACAAACGCCGTCGGACCAGTGATTGAAAACACCGCGGTATGTTCATGTATCGTGCACATGTAACCATACTCTACCATACGGATTCAAAGGGAATACAAAAAAGCTGAGGGACTTGACAGCGGGCTGTAACGTTACCTGCGCCAAACCAGGGGGGAGATAACGGAGGAATTTCCAACCAATATCACCTGGATATCGCTTTATATTCAAGGACATCCGACTGCCAAACACCGCCTTCGCTCGCTCGGAGAAGCCTTCCGATGTGAGGAGAAATACAAATAAACGTAACAAGAGAGAAAAGGGACGGGAGAAGGGGCCTTTTTTTTTGAGTCTGGTCAACCCTTCCGAAAAAAAGAAAAAGAAAAGAAAAAGCAAGCAGCAGCATCTGTTGACGGGGAGAGGAAATTAATTTGACATCGGCTGAAAAGAGGATATTATCGATAACGACGACAACCCCTCCTGCCTAAAAAACGGCGTAGCCTGTAATGTGACTGATTTGTGATAGAGAGAGAGAGAGAGAGAGAGAGAGAGAAAAAAGCCCTGGTATAGCCTGATGATTCACATGCCGTCATTTTAAGAGGAAATATTTATTTTTTATTTTTTTTCCAAGCGCTTTCTGATGTGCTCTGGTTCATGGTGGAAGGATTTCTAACACCCCCACACAAAATTAATTAACCTAAAATATCTGTTTCAAGGTGTTTGAAAAAGAAAAAGAAAAGAAGGAATGAAAATAGGCTCTGTTGTGAGTGGAAATGAATTAAAAGGCAGTGTGAAGTATCTGCTGAAGATGGGCTCCGGAGGAGACATTTGTTAAGAAAGTCAGAATTAAAGGCAAGCCTTAACAAGGAAACAGGACCCCCCTCTCCCCCTTCTCTCCCCCCCTTCCCCGACGTTGCATTCACGTAAGGCTGGAAATCTCACATCGACTCTCATATCAATGTTGATGACTTCATTGCGGATTTACAGTGAAAAACACAAGAAGCAAGCCTCTGAGAGGGCGGCATCGCTTCTCTGCTCCTTTCTGAGGGATCGCTTGTTGATAAATTGCCAGTAAATAGCCACATCCATCTCTACTTACGTTCCCAAAAGCCTGGTGGAGCCTGACATTTTTTCCTTTACATCTACTTCATCTGTGTCTGGCAACATAAATGTCACCAATTTTGAGCCAGGTGTTCCTCTGCTGGGCCAGTTTAGGAATTTTGGATTGATTGATTTTTATCTTATCAACACCCTCCCTCCCTCCCTACAACCAGCCACCAAACATCCACCCACCCAAATACCCTCGCCTGCCTGCCTGCCTGCCTGCCTGCCTGCCTTCCTGCCACCCCCCCCTTGAACCTATCACTGGGTTTTGGGGAAAAGATGGGCTGTCTTGGCAATAGTAAGACCGAAGACCAACGAAATGAGGAGAAGGCACAGAGGGAAGCCAACAAAAAGATAGAGAAGCAGCTCCAGAAAGACAAACAGATATACCGGGCCACTCACCGGCTACTACTATTAGGTAGGTTTTCTTAAACCCATCCTTAGCATGTGCGTGTGTTTCACCTAATTCAACCTGAATATCACATTGGTGCAGAATTGTTGCACCTATTCAAACAAAATGTGTTTATTTTGATCTATTTCTATTCTGTAAAAGCTATTATTTCATGAAAGGGATGATTCACCTCGTAAAACCAGGCATGGTATGATGTCACAGTGCAACAGGGTGTATAGTGTTTTAAACAGGCCTGTGTCCTGCTCTCATGGGTCATTATGGAGCATTATATCAGAACATGTGAGACACACTGGACGGACACAGGGACACCATTTGTGTGAAGGCAGCTTGCAGAGGACTGGGAGGCCATAAACAGGCTTTTTTTATTTTGCAGTTTGTTTCTTTTCACACACAGCAAAAGGGATGTTTTTTTTTTTTTTTAGTGCTTGTGAAGGTCTATTGTTTATTCATTCTGATAAAGTCAGTTCTGGCTCTGTCATCAGGCCTCAGTGTCACATTACAGGTCTGAACCTCAAGGCCAGATCTAGCATCCTGCTAAGCCTCTTGGAGTACCGAGAGCAAATTAGGATTACTATTAGGATTACTAGCTAGCTTCCCTTGAATCACTGTCCCGTTCATTCTAATCTGAAATGGATCCTAGATTTGAACACTTGCACTTAAAGCACTGAAAAGCAGGCTTGTAGTGTAGCTCCTCATGTTCTGGTTAGGAGGTGTTATGGCCTGATGTCTTTCATTAACAGTTTGTGAGGATGTATTTAATTCTTCAGTATTATTAGGATATATCCAGGCACATTTGCTTCTACTTAAAGAAGAAACCGTAAGACATTATTCTCAGCTGATCTCATCTTCCAGTTTGATCAAATCTTTGTGTGCTCCTCCATGATGCTGTGAGCCCTCATCACATTCAAAAGCAGTGGTGGATGAAGTATTAAGATTTTAAACTTCGGTTAAAGAGCCAATACAACATTTTAAATGAACTCACAGATAAAGGTCTGCCTTTAAATCTCAGGTCAGAGAAAAAAAGAGGTAGAAATCTATTTTTTGGTTGAGGTGCTAAAATTCAAATACATCTACAATTTTTTAAACCATCACAACCACTTGGTAAATCATAAGGGTGCGTACTATTTTATGAGATAATCATGTTACATTTTTCTGAATGATATCTAAAAACTGCAGCTGAATTGTGTTCTATCGCCCTCTAAAATCTAATAGAGTAGGAAAAAAAAAATGAATATACACCAGTAAACCTCAAGTATTTCAACATTATTCTTGAAATTAAACACTTGAGAGTTAACTTTGCTACTTCCCACCTCTGAGAAGAACAAGTCAGATAGATGGAGACTCATCTGGAGCTTTTGAACAGCAGTGTCATGTCCTCCACATCTTTCGGTCCTCATGGTATTAGTGCTTGGGTAACATACGGCACTATGTTTACACGAGGGGTGACAGGGACAGTGCAGAGAAACAAAGCCACGATAGTTCAAATATGCTATGGGAAGAATCTTTGTCTTCAAGTTTGTTACTCTTCCACTTCTTCCTCAACTGGCCTGATCTTCCTCCAAGACCACTTAGATCCACAAGTAGATCCAAGTATCCAATGACAGAGTCTAGACCATCATCCACTTTGTTTCAGGATGTTTGTTGGTACCATTTGAAGGAGTTCTTTAAAACTTCCAATCATCTCGTCTGACTTATTTTGAATCCTCTTTCTACTTTCAGGGGCCGGTGAATCCGGGAAAAGCACGATAGTCAAACAGATGCGAATACTGCACGTAAATGGCTTCAACGCAGAGTAAGTGTTCGTTTCCTCAATGTTTTATCCTGTACCTGTGTTATCAAACACACACACACACACACTCACACTCCTTCAGCACATTTAACCTCCAAAACACTACTCTACGTCTATGATCACAATAAGAATATAAAACAATATGTAGGACTGGGTGTTGCTGACAGGAGAGGACATGAACACATTTGTTGACCAAATACTTGAACAACATTTTGAAGTATTTGCGTGTCTGTACGTGTGTGTTGTTGACAGCTACTGGTGCATTCACAAGATTAAAAATGGCAGAAATGACCTTAAGTGACACTCATGTCATGCAGGTTGATGGCTGTCGGTCCAATTCACTCAGCGACAAATGACAGGTTATTTATTGTGGAAAATGATCAACAGTGTAATGAATTAAAACAGACATCAAGAAACAGCAGAGATTTAAAAAGATAGAAACACTAATAATAAATCAATTAACAATGAATCAGGAAGGAAGATAGTATTTGCATGAAGGCTAAAAAATTCAACATTCTTGTTGCGTTAAGGCAGGAGTGACTTCCTTAATATGTGAGGAAAGAAAGCTGTATATTCAAACTGCTGTACAGTTTATACAGTTTACCTAAGCTAGTAGAGTACATCACATTAGAGCTGGAATAACCAGTAAATGAGTCAATGGATTGAAAATGGAATTTGCAACTCAGAGTTATTCCTCAAGCAAAGATATTCAATTTCCTCTGGTTTGACTTTCTCAAATGTCAAGAATTTTCCATTTTTAGTGTTTATATATCACGTTTCATCAAGTGATGTCACATTGAATTATGTTTCCCTGGGGTTTGAAGTCTTTGTCTGACAAAACAAGATACTTGATGAACATGCTTACGGTACATTTGTAATAGCTCTTCCTGTGCGTTGACTGTCTTGATAGTGCAACAAAACAAAATATTTGTATCTCTTCCTTGTTTTAAAATATAGATTTTTATATCCTGAGTAAATTTGCTCAATGCATCAGGGCCCGACCGATATGAGATTTTTGGGGCCAATATTTGGGAGAGAAAAAAATCTGATACCGATATATCGGCTGATATTTTTCTTAGATCTATGTTCGATCTGTAGAGATAGATATATAAACCCACCCTCAAATGCAGTTATTAAACACTCGTGGAAAATATTTATAATAAAGACAAGATGGTCGCTCAACTGCACTTGAACGTGCATCACACTCTGGAGAGTGATAATGTTTGTTGTAATTCCTAAAACAAACTCTGCTGGTGACAGAGAACTGCAAGTGTAATACAATGAAACTCAAATTAAATGCTGGATTAAATGACTGGATAATAAATCTAGTAATATCTGCATAAATCATGAATAAGGCGTTACCGATCGTCACGGGATGTGCTCATATCAGCCGATATTATCGCTCTAACAATGCATTCAGCCAGAAAGAGAAGTTGAATTTTCCTCTTGTTTTGTAACTTGAGATTGATGTGCAAATATCCAGATTTTTAAAAGGAAACATTGGATGAATTTCTTGTCATCCAGGGATCTGAATTGTTTAAAAAATGAAGGGGTAGACTGGTGTCATTGTTAAATAAAACTGTCCAAGATGGTCTGAAAGAAATAAAGCTGTGCAGATTTTTGTAACGTTTTGGAGTAAATAATTCAAGTAAAAGCGACACAAGAAGAAAGCTTTTATCTATTTCAGGTTTTTCATGGAAACAGTGCCCCGGGTGTTTTCAGACCACCCCGTCTTGTGAATGTCATAAAATACAATCCTAAATTGATGCAATGGAAACTAAAGCCACATTTTTCTATTCTTAATCATGGGTTTCCTAGAAGAGGGATATCGGCAGCATCATGTGCTTATTTTTGGGTCAAGTCAAACAGATGCTCCTCACAGACACCGACACTCTGGTGTCAGAACAAACCGTCAGTCGGTCGCCGCTTCCAAGTCTTGTTTAGATCCTAGAGTTTGTTTCTGTCTTTGGTAACGGAGGGATTGAAGGTGTTTCCCTTTTTTTATTGCTTATCTTAGTTTTAGAAGTGATGTCTTATCTTATGTTGGAGAACTTTTTGTGGTATGCTTTACTTTGAATACACTAAAAAAAATTGGATCCCAAACCAGATCATCAATAGGCTTTATTTTCTGCTTCAATTTTCCTTATCAAAAACGCACTGATTCCCCCCCTTAATTAATCTTTTGGTTTGTAAAATGTCAGAAAAAATGTCCATCAAAGTTACCAGTAGTGAAATATGACATCTTCAGACCAGTAGGAACCTAATCCCAAGATTAACATTTAACTGTAGTGAATAAACTAAGAAACGAACTGGACTGAAAACTACCAGCTTCATCTGTTCATATTATGGCTGCACAGTTAATGGTAATAAACACATAGCAAAAGTCTACATTTCTCGCAATAAATAGATTCAAGTAAAGCTTTGACACTCAGCATGTGTACGATACGCTGATTGGATGAAGGCCTGGGTGTAATGTCCATGCTCTCACACCATGTTGTATGATGCAGACAGACAATGCTAAAGCTAGCTATGACCTACCCTCTGATTAATTAGTGCTCATTTAGTGGAGGACTAAAAACAGTTTTTTGAGTTTATTTGGGATTCAGGAGGCACATGTTGAAAACACAGGTAATGCATAAAACATGAAAAACCACAGAAAGTTATAGGAACAGAGTTTTAGTTTTTATGCACTCTTTAGTTTATTTATCACAATTTATCCTTTATTGTAATCTTGAACAATTTGATCGCACATTGCATTTTTCTCTCAAATCGTGCAGGAATAGTTCGTGTAAACAGAAATAATGAAGAACAAGATTAATGCTGTGTATTTTTGGTCATATGTGCTTTTGCCTTTGAATAACTAATACAAAAAGTCTTATTCTTACATTCTCTTGACTATTCAGCATCTCTGAACATCTTCTAAAAGTAGTCATTCTCTCCAACATTTTTTAACATGATCTATATTGAGGTAATGAGTTACTAATGCTGAGAAAGTCCATATTTTGCTTTAATAGCAGACAAACCCTCACCCTAACAGAAAATGTTTTTTGTTTGTTTGGGATATATGAATACCATTTAAAGGCTGTTGGCTTACTTGTGAATGGAGAATATAATTATAAAAACAAAATCGTAGCATGTCAACTTTTATTAAAACAACAATACAGAATCAGAAACCATTACCAGAGAGTGATATAAGGACCCTCTTCTGTTTTAATGTCAGCAGAACATGTAGCACGGTGCACTCAAACTTTAAACATGTGGGTTTTCCAATCCTTTAGTATTGTTCTGGTGTACAAAGATATTTTCCCTGGGTCATTCAGAAGAAATCACTCTTTGCAGCTACCTGATTGTGTAAGCAGCTCTCAGGTTGATTCATTTGGTGGAATTTCAGCATCAAATCTGACATTTCACTTTTCAAACTTTTTTTAAAAGAATTTCACACTTTGGCAGGAAGTCCAGGTCATTGAAAGAGCTGCGTGACGTTAACACTTTGACCACCAGTATCAGTGACTCCCTCTGAATGAATAAACTGAGTGCTGTGCTGAAATCCTCTTTGTCTTTACAACAAAATAAACCAGGCCAAACATGGAGGACTTCAGTGTGCTCGCTAGTCATTGGGAACCTTTTTCATTCTCATAGAAAGTTTTGAAATGGAAGTTCATGAACACAATATACTACTTTCTGTTTATGAATGTGTTTATGAACAGTAACGTTTAGTTTAAGGCATGGTTTCACCTTTCACGCAACATTAACGCTTACAAACATGTCAAACAGCAGTCTTATACCAAAACGTTTTGGTTTTTAAAGTAATTTGTCCAGAAAATGATCTTAAGCCAAATTGAAATATAGATAATAGTGATTTTTTTTTTCCTGTTGCCCATCAAATTGTTAGCATGTTAACAGCTATTAGCATTGAACAACATTGATGTGTTGTATTCACTGTTAATATTAATGTTAATTAATGTTGGTAATGCTTTTTGTTTTACTTTATGCTTTCTTGTTCATAAAATAACACAAACCCCTTCTTTGCTCTTCACAGGGAGAAAAAACAAAAAATCCATGACATTAAAAACAACATTAAAGAAGCTATAGAGGTAAGCATTCTGTCTTTTTTTTTTGGACCTACTCTCTAACAGTATACTTCTTTAGTACTCTTTGGCAAGTGGTGTTTAGAGATTCGCTCATTTTAAGGAGTATTATTCCCACTATGACATCTTTTTGCCTGTCAGACTAAACTATACAATGTCTTAGCATTAAAGTCCAAACCATTTTAAATTATCCCTGACATTATGCAACATAAGAACGTTGCTTAACAAATGGCAGCAGTTTCCTTGAATGCTTTTTGAATTGGTAAAATGTTGAGTTGATGAGCTCCAGGCGCCACTTTCCCTTTAAAAGTGAATGTGTGCCATATTTAAGTGAAGCTCTCTTTGCCCTGTTTATATGATGGAGCGTTAAAAACAATGCAAAGTGCCTTAGATTTATTATTGATTGTTTTCTACTTCTTCTCTCTCCATGCAGACGATCGTGTCTGCGATGACGACGCTCACACCGCCATGCAAGTTAGCTTCTGCTGCCAACCAATGCCGGATCGATTATGTCCTCAACCAAGCAAGCCAGAAGGACTTTGACTTTCCTTCAGTAAGTTTTGCCTCGTCTCCCCTTTTGAATCTCAGACTGTTTGACTAGTTCTCCATCAGTCGTTGGTTGATACATGTTCGTGTCTGGTCCTGTTAACTAGCACAGATAAACTGGCTGGCAGAGGAATGTAACCATGTTCACTAACACTAGTTTCATTTGACCTAATGCGAGTTTAAACAGAGAAGATTCATTAATATTATAGACTATTGATAGAAAAGTATTCCCCAACAACTTTGATTATGTATTAAAATAAAACAATTTAAATTTCTCTTGGTCGAGCTTCCAAAATAAAATATATTTTTTCTGCCATTGTATTGTGAAATGGAAATGTTTTGGTTTAGGGCATTTGGCTTGACGACACAAACTTTGAAATATGTAAAATGAACTCTTTGAAACTTTCTCAAGCTAATGAAATGTGTCAGATCATAAGACCAGTCGTGAAGCATTTAATTGATAATGCTGGTAATTATTAGATGGTTGCTGTCCTTGACTTCAGTCAGTAAAAAATACAAGAAGACATTAAACAGAGATCAATCTTGTTTGTCTACGCTGCTTTTTCATTAAAAAAAGCATGATGAAAATGTGTCTGCTTAATGTTTTAAACCTTTTTTAATAGACATTACTTGCTCGTTTGTTCCTAAAGTTGACCTGAAGTCTTCTCATAAGTTCTCTTGAATGTCACAGAGGATCAGATGTATTCCGCTGCATCCTTCAGATCTCGGTGTCTAGGTGTGCTGGAGGTGACTTAGGTGTCTCACATGGCTGCCTGGTGTGTGTTTGCTCAGTGATTCAGTAATTAGCAGGTGTGCTTCCGCTTGGGAGCCTGTGAATTGAATGAGCCTCTCACCTGAGAGCTCTACACCGCCTATTAGCACTGATTGTCTGTAATAACCCTAAATGTGTCTGAAGGGACCTGTCCTCCAGAAACACACAGACTCTCAGGGGGGGGTACCTACCTGAGCTGCAGTCTGATCCCACTGGCTTGTTGGAGACTCCGTACATGTCCCACTGCTGGACTACATATTTATTTATTAACTGAAGTCTTCAGGAAGTATTTTTTGACTTAAAAACAAGTGACAATTATATATTTTTTCAAAGCTAGCTCGTTTTAGTTATAGTCTGCTAGCCTGATTGATTGTGATGGTTTGTGTTGTTGTCAAGACCACACTAACAGAGACCAAGACGTACCCGAGACCAAGACAAGACTAAGACATTTAGGGATCGAGACCGAGTCAAGATGGAGACCAAGGCAGGGCGAGTCAGAGACAAAACCAAGATCGTAAATATTACATAAAAATCATCATCATCGAAGGTTGCGGCCGTAACCGGGGGGTAAAAATCAAAATATAAATGAACTGAAGTTAATGGTTGTTTTAGAAAGGGGCATTTTCCTTCTTATCACAGTAATGACATAAGAAAGAAGGCTATCGGTGGTGGTCTTGACCAATCTTGATTTAAAATACAGAGTAAAAACGCTTCTGATTCCGAGACTTTCAAATCTGGGACCCGAGTTCTCCAGCACTAGTAACGGTTATCCTAGATTTGCAAGGACTTTTGGGGCTGTAATTTAGAGCTAAAGAAACTGTTGTTTAGTTTAATATGGCCACATGTTGTGTTGCTTCAGGATTGCTTGTTGATTTGGCTCTGTCCATCTTCTAACCAAACAACAACAAATGTTTAATCGCAGTAAAAATCAGGTCTCAAAATGTTTGAGTAAGCTTGTGCAGCAAAATTTGAAGCTTTACTCGTGTACAACACTCAGCGGAGTTTGTCTTTAAGCTGCCTGATGTCTAAAACCTAAATAAGACAAAGACATGTCTGATATTTATGGAGTGATAGCCACAGGAAAGTTTATATCACAGTTTTATTGACGTTAAATCAACCAGTTGAGCTGAAATATTTTATTAAAATGAACATTCAGCTCATTATTGACAAGAAATAAACAAACTGATTATTGTTTTATTTAATAAATTAGGACAGTGCACATGAATCAACATATCAGAAAATTGCATCTATGTAAATAGGCCAGAATTGGCAAAAAGCTAAATGTAATCTGTACTCCTATAAGGCAGGTAATTGTGATGACAGATTTATCATCCATCCAGTCATTTACAAGCAGGAGAACTAAAAGTTCCTCGTTCCAGCCTCTGAAATGTGAATACTTGGATTTATTTTTATTCTAACAGGATTAAAAAAGGAATACTTTCAGGGTTTTATCTATTCTAAACGGGTCATATTGTGCTTGGTAATTTTGATATTTTAATGTAGACAACTGTTACTCAGAAATGCACTGGAAACTAAAAAATGATCTCAGCTGAAGCTCCTTCTTTTTTTTTAGAATAGCAAATAAAACATGATGTATTTTATTAAATTACAGCTTAATCAAGTGTAATAATTTGTAAACTCTAAATGTTCATGACGGACCTTATAGTGAAAAAATGTTGAGAGTAAACATTGACCAATTTCTTATTTTGAAGCAAAATATGAGAAAAGAGTCAACACTTCTCTTTTTGGACTTGTTGAATAGGACTTCATGTGTTTTCTAATATGGAAGTGTTCACGTCGAAGAAGAAGAAACAGCATGTCTTCCCTGTTTTTCTCCCAGCTTGCTAGCTTCAGTGTTTATACTGGTAGTTTCCACTGACGAGTGTGTGTATTTGTGTGTAAGCAAATAAAGAAGTCTCCTGATATTGTCTCTGTTACTTAACAGCAGATTTATTATACGGGCCGTTCTGGAGCTGACCCTGCCCCGGGGGCTGTGGGTCGGCCTGTAGACTTCCACTGAAGACCTGCAGGGTCTCGACCGGAGGGATAGGCCAGCTCTCACTCTTGAGTTTTGTCCTTTCTACGCTGGTTGTTGAGCATAAATGGGGTGTTGATGCTTTCTAAATCTTCAAGGTGTAGTTGTTGTTTAAAAAAAAATAGTGGCAGAAGCATGAGAAGAAGAAAAAAAGTATGGCTTAGTTTATGTGGATTCTTCTCATTGAATCAAGCTCTCATGGTTGTTCAGGGAGGAGAATACTGTAGAAAAGTATCTGAAGCTCGGCCTCTCCTCCTCTTCTGCTGCTCCCCCCTGCCTGCCCTCAGGGCCTAACTGGAAACCAGTCAGACTGGTTGACTCTGCCTTTAGCAGAGGAGGAAGAGTTAGAGAGAGACAATGAGCACCCGGCCTCTATCAACCCTCTCTAGTTGTTTCATATTGTTTGGAGAAAATAATGACTCTCCTGAAATGTATTAATAAATGGACTACACCTTTATGCTAGTTATAAACGTGTCACTAAGGCTTTGAACTCCTTGCTAAACAAACCTGCCACCTGCCTTCAGCCTCTGTGCTCCCAGCATGCAACAGTACAGAGACAAGTCATTGTAGTCAAGTTGGTTGTGTCAGTTTTATTTACTGTAAATATCTTAATCACAAATTTGCCTTAGAGCGCTTTAAACTCTTAAAACAAAAAACACAAGGCCGAATATAAACAACGTACATCGTTTTTGGAATGCCGGCTGATTTTGTGAGAGGACTTCCAGGTGAACGTATGGCTGGCAGTGAATCCACAGGAGACGTCACACTCACATGTACTAAAACAAAGACATGAAAATATGACGAGTCATTTTTCACCCACGGCTTCACCTGTACAATGTAGGCTAATAAAGAGATGCCTACACTCCTTCCTTTTGCAACATCCGCCCTGTGTGAGGTTTGTCTGCAGTCGCCTCAATCAACACAAACGACAACACACACGCTGGACACTGAAAATGAACTAAGAGTGACAGTCTCACAGCTGCACCACAGACTTAAAAAGATCTGTCACATTAAAAAAAAAAAGCCCACACCAGTCATCTAAATCATTGCAGGACTGGAAATATAAATCTAAATTCATATTTTATTTTTTATATTTTAGGGAGTTCATCTTGAGGGAGTCAGGTATAAGAAAATGAGTTTAAAGCTGTGACTGTTGTTAAGTTTCATGTTCCAGTATAACTTCTAACTGCTCCGTTTGTGTTTTTCTGTTTGTTGTCGCACACTGAAGTTTCTATTCTGTACTTTATGCAGACATTGTCTTGAGATAAATTCTAAAAATATAAGAATTTGTGAGCGCTTCGATAGACTAGTGGTTATGTCGCACGCCCCTCGTTCAGAGGCTACAGTTCTCGTCTGAGTGGGTTTGAATCTAACCTCGGTCCTCAGCTGCATGTCATCCCAACTCTTTCTCGAAAGCGACATACAGCTGAGAGTAAGTGCAGCACTGATTTCTTAGAAAACCCTTCTCTAAACCGAATAGTAGAAATAAAATGTAGTCAAAAAGAAATCCTTTGTTTCTGCTGTTTGTCTTTAGAGGACCGCATCTCAGGGTCTGCACTCAGGTCACAGTCCTCCCTATTCTTAAACTTTCTCTGAGCGGCCCAACCACAGCAAGAGGCATCATAAAGTAGCTTTCTTCCTCTTCTGTCAAACTTTGTGAATTATACACGTGGCCATGAATAAACTTTATGATAGAAAACATGATCTCTTTAATTGAAGAGGCTACAGAGAAAAACTGATGGTAAGGACGACCTCTGTGACCTCCTGAAACGTGAACACCGACTGTAAGTTCTTTAAACAGGGATTTCATCTGGTATTTCTTTGATAACATGAACATGAATGAAGAATTTATTATGACCTGGAATTGTTAGATTTTTTTTCTCATTGGTCGGCTACTTTAATAAAATCTGAAGATATATATCTTAGAGTTTTTTTTATTTTGCCAATAGCGTAAAGACAGTCTATAACACTGATAAGGAATAATGTGAAAAAATGAGGTGGGGGGGGGGGTGATTACATGGTTTCAACTATAATACGTGACTATGCATGTTTTGTTAAAAAAACTATGCTCGTTTTGAACAAATCCCCTAACTGTCACCTCGTCTCATCCAAACGTCTATTTCTGCTTCATAAAAACATGCTCACTACTTCCTCTCAAAATGAAACATCTTAATGTTAACAATGTTCTCCCTTTGCTCATAATGGCTTATTTGTGCTTGATGGTTGTGTATGAGGCCGACTGAAGATCGTACGGAGGAGATTAGGCCCCTGCGTAGTGACAGCCAGGCCTTGTGTCAGTACAAAGCTGTCCGTTTCTGCATGAACTCGCTGAACTGTTCTCTTTCCGGCCTCAGTCAGATCCCGCTCATCTGCTGCTCTCTGAGCCGGCCCCTTAAACTACAAACTACAGAGGAGGAAGACTCCCTGCCTCCTCATCATCTGTCCTTAGGTCATTTCACGATTAGATGAGAAATCTGGTTTTAAACATCCAACATAAAAATCATCCAAAGTTCCAAACAAAGCCAAACTGTTTGTTCAATGACCATCCATTAGTGTGTTTGTCATTTTTTAGTTTTGTGCTTCATTCAAAGACAAATCAGCCATCAGTCCTTACATTTAGGAAAAAACTAAATAAGGCTTTTTCTGCAAAAACCAAATAGATTATCTAGTTGTAAAAAAAAAAGTTGCTGATGAAATGTTTTTGTTTCTCCCAATTATAATCCAAGTGACAAAAGCTCGACTTAAAACCAAAACTTTGTCATTGAAATGATCCCCTAAGAATTCATTTTCAGAGGGTCCTTGCTCTGACAGATATACTTTGTACCCTCTCTGGAAAACCTGGAGAAATATAAAATATTAAAGGCTTACTATGTGATTTTCAGGGCAGAGTTTTTAGACCAAAACAAACGCTCTCTTCAGACACACCTCCTTCATCCACCAGCCCCCTCCTCCCCTCCCGTCTCCACACTTCCCCTACCCCTCCAGACTCCAGACGTTCAACTAGCAGGGTTTTAGATGCCAGAGACAACTAAAGATCAGTGCTAAAAAAAAAAAAAAAAACTGCCAAAAAGTTTCTGCAAACAGTTTCAAGTATTGACATCTCAATAATGATTCGAATTATACGTTTGTCTTTTTGGGCCAAAGAAAGTCTTTCCTTTGGTTTGGAAAGTCTGTTGGTTCTCCTTCAGTCTTGCGAACATTATCGTGCCCAAAGACACAAATGCCCTGAGTGGGCGGGGCCGTAACGTGCCCCACGTGGTGGCAGGGCTGACAATTGGACAGGGAGGGGCTCACTCGAAAAATGTACGAATAAAGTTGGAGCCACTTAGTGACACATAAACAAGCTGAAGGAAACACCGTCCGTCCATGTGAACTCAGAGCTAAGAACAACAAATCCAAATCCAAACTCACTCATTACTCCACAATATATTTAAATAGCGTATGTTTGTTTTTGCTATGATGATATTCCGACTGTCGTATATTATATATTAAAGCCTAAGGTTGACTTTGTTTGTAGGCTGTCGTGTTGGAAGTCAATATTTCTTGGAAATATTCTTGTTTTACTCACACATCAACTATTCCCGTAGCTCTATTTGGGCGATCATACCTTTACTTCACAGAACCATAAACAGGAGTCTGACTTGCAGTTATTTCCAGTGCAGGTATGTTGTTAATCCAGAGCCCTCTTTCTCTTTCCAGGAGTTTTACGACCATTCAAGGATCCTCTGGCAGGACGAGGGTGTGAGGGCCTGCTGGGAAAGGTCCAACGAATATCAACTCATCGACTGCGCACAGTAGTAAGACTTTCATTTTTATTCTATACCCGTACAAAGACGTGACATGAAACACAAAGGTATTTCACAACACATTGCCCACTGTGGGATGTTTGGGTGTTTTGAAATGTTGTTAATATGGTTAATCTAATTTATGTCTGTGCTACCTACAATGACTTTGTGTGTTGGTTCTAAATTGGGCATATTGATAGTTGGTAGGTCGGAAGATGTTATGACCAGACCTGATCAGAATCTGCCTTTGTTTTACTCTCTCAGAATAAGCAAAACGACTAGATCTTTTAAAAAATCAAGACGTTGATTGAACCAACTATAGTTTTGTCCTTCTCAGCTTCTTCTCACTTTCTCTGTTTGTGACTCTCTGGACCTTCATAGCTTCCTTTCTAGTGATGTGAAGCTTCACTAGAAACATACAACAATATACAGTGGCCATGTTCTTTGTGTTTGCCATACTATTCACATTTGTACGGGGATAGTTTTCTGAGTCTAACTATAATTCTACAATTCATTTAGCAGAGAGTAAGTACAACAGTAAGGATCTAGAAAAGTGGAAACAACTTCAGTTAGGACTAATGAACAGCCTTAAGTCTAAGCAGACACAGGTGCTGACAGGCTTTTTCTTCTTAAGGGGATAGTTCAGTATTTATGAATTGAGATTGTATGAGGTCCTTGTCAGTAGTGAGTATATTAGCTACCAGAGATGTTGGTTAGCTCAGCCCCTCTATTGACAGACTGGCAGGCAGCAGAGGGATACCTTTGCTCCAAGTAATTTTGTTAATTTTAAAGTCCTCATGAAATGTTTTACATGGATTCTAGTCCCACTCAATTTTAACAACATACATTATCATCTTTATTTATTGAAAATTTCAAAATATAAAACATCAAAATATAGATTTTATTGTTTAGTCATACTTAGTTTCATCAGATATTATCTGATTCAAGTAGCACAGAGTAATCCTTATCAACTTAGGTTTATTTTATTTTAAGCATTTGTCGACATCAAGAAAATGTGGACTTGACTTTTAACATTTTCTGGTGCCTGATTGCAGATTTTTTTGCTGTGCTGTAGTGCTCGGTTGTTGATATGATGATGTATGTTAGTGTGTGTGTGTGTATGTCAGTGAGTGTGTGTGTAGGAGCTCTGATGAATCTAAAGTGTTATTGTTGCAGTATTTAAATAATTTGTCACAGTTATATTTCGCCTAAAATCCCAGGCTACCCGAACCTACTTTCCTAACATTTTTCTTTATTTTGATTTTGTCTGATCCGTCTTTTTGATCTCACCTGCCTCTGTTATAATGAATGCAGCGGACTCATGAAGACAGAGGGGTTTTGAGGGTTGATGTTAGTGTATAATATTACTTACATAATATGTATGTCTATGCAGTGATGCAGAAGTTAAGGTATCCATTACAAGTAAAAGTCCTGCACTCAAAGTCCTTACATTAGCGAACATACATTTTATAAATATGATACGATAATATGATACGTTTCAATTCAATTCAAAACTTTATTTGTCCTCTGGGGGCAATTCAAAGACACACAGACACACACATAGATCAGTAGCAAGAAAACAACAATAAGGAGCGGCGAAGACTATGAATGTAAAACAAAAATATAAAATGAAATACAAAATAGATTAAGTCGAATAAAGATATAAGTGGACAATGGACAGAATAACTTAATGATATACACTTTACTGTCCCCCTGGGGTTAAATCTTCTGTTTTAAAATGTATAGAGTAATATGGAAAATGTCCTGTGATTGAAGTATGAGGATGTTATGAATACATGATACTTACTCATCAAGTTGTCAGCCAGAGTTTGCTTCAGTCAGGTCTAAAAAAAATCACATGTTATGAAGTGATTTCAGTGATTTCAAGGAAGCCTGAGACAAAATGAATTAGGTCGAATCACTGCTTCAAAATATCCAGTTGTGTCTTTTAAAGCCCAAAACAAATTGTTTAAATGATACCAACAGAGAAATTTGAATTAAGTCTTTGGTGGACCCGCTTATTATTGATAGATATCTCAAACTTCATGCCTACATTTTGTAAGAAGCTTCAAGAGAAAACAGTGACTGTAGACCCTCGGGTTAATCCTCAGAATTATATTTAATTTATAGTCAATTAGTATGATATTAATGTAGAAAATAATAGTGACCAGGAGTTGCTGTATGTCCATGTCACTAACAGAGCATTAATGACACGGGTGTTCTGCTGTCTCCTTTTTAGTTCCTGCTTTTTTGTGGAAGTCAGGATCAAATGAAAAACCGTGCTTGTAAGAAAAGCAGTTGTAAAATATTACAAGCTAACAGAGAGGCAGAACAATTGAAAAAGAGAAAAGGATTGACAAATGGAAATAGAGAAAAAGAGGGTTTCCCTGCATTGCGGGACCTCTCCTCTCCTCTCCTCTCTTCTCCTCTCCTCTCTTCTCCTCTCCTCTCCTCTCCTCTCCTCGTGTTTCCTCCTTCTCTCTCTCTCTCTCTCTCTCTCTCTCTCTCTCTCCCACACCCAGCAGCTCCAGTGTTATGGATCAGATGCTGGGCTGGGTGGCCAGACCGGAAGTGCTCCCCTCCCCCCTCTATGTGCTTATGTAAACGGAGAAGCAGAGAAAGAGAGAGGGGAGAGCTATTTTTAACCCGGGCGGGCTGCAGAAGGAGAAAGAATGAGCGAGTGTGTTAGCAGAGAGACAACTTCAGCATTATTGATGAAGGTTGTTAGCATTAAACGAAAATGTCAGGGCCGGATCAGCGCGGGAAAAGTCAGGGCCACTCCACACATCCACGCCTCTCCCTTTTTGTAAAACACCAATTATATCATCTGATTCGTGTCGTGATTAAAAAAAAGAGAAGAAGAAGTTGACGGGGCGGTGATGTGTTGCTGTCTCTGTCTGATGAAGAGGAAGTCATTGGCGCTTCCCTCGCTGTGTTTCTGCTCTGTCATGCTTCTCAATGGTGTGATTTTTCTTGTTGTCTGCTTATTTATCGGGACTTCCTCGCTCCTTATATGGTCACACACTTTGTTTGTGAGGATTTATTGGTCGCTATTGGTTGATGTTGCTTGATAAAATGAAGAGTTTCGTCGGTGTCGAGTTGGTGACTCTAAATTGTTGACTTTGTTCCCTACCGGACAAACGGGAATGGGTTTGTTATTTTACAAACCTGAGATATTCCACCACTTTCTCCTGACTTTTATGGAGATAGCCAGAATTTGTTTCACAATTATTTGTTAAACATTGACACAATTAATAAAAAATAGGCTGGAGTTGTTATAGGATTTATTGAAGTTACCTAACTATAACATCTAGTGAAGGACTGTTGGTTAGTGAGCTAGTTAATCAATATCTTAGAAAATCCAACAACCTGGGAATGATGTCTGTGAAACAATCAAATAAAGATCATGTTATGATATTATCCTACTATCAAATATGATCCAGCAGACTGTAACAGAAGATCCACACGGATCCAGTTCAACAATGGAAGAGCTGGTAAATGAAGGGTTGGGTCAAAGTAACCAAACTAAAAAAAGGCCCCTTTGAACCCTTTGACAATAACCCTGCACTTTGGTTTTTTCATCCAGCAGTAAAAAGCAACATTAATGACTATTTAAAAACAGACCTGGTGGGGCGCTGGTGGAGTAGTGGTTAGAGTGCGCGCCCCATGTATGGAGGCTGTAGTCCTCTAAGTGGACGGCCCTGGTTCGAATCCAACCTGTGGCTCCTTTCCCGCACGTCATTCCCCACTCTCTCTCTCTCTCTCTGTCTCTTCCTGATTTCCTGGTTGATAAAAAAATAAAAATGTATGTAACTTTCTAGAAATGCAATTCATTACTCCCAGTGAGCACTAGGGGTCGACTGAATGTCGAGGGCTGGTATTCGGCATTTAGTTGGTTATCTCTATCAGCGTATTTCACAAAGCACCATTTTGCTTTAGAATAAAAAAAAGGGTTTCTTTGAGCGTTAACGATGAGCGATGCAAAGGATGATTGAAGCATAATTTGTACAAAGTCATTTTGCAGCAGTTGTTGAAATCTGTTCTATGCAAAGACCTTATTTCATCCCATTTTTTTTTTCATACAAAAATCATAAATACAGCATTTTACGATATGTCTGATGTTAAAAAGTAAAGCTCCGAGACGTCGTAAAGGGAGCAGTTTGAAATATTTGAAAGAGGAAGTGTTGTTAAGTACTGTAACATAATGGATCTTTACTGCCATGTAATAATAATAAGATAAAAGACTGCACATGCTCAGGTGACTGTGCAGCTCGCTGGACAGCAGACAGGATGCTGACTCAGCTGATTGACACCTGTTAGAAGAAGACTCAGTGTACTTACATTGATGGGTGGTGGACTTGAGTGCAGTTTAGTTTGGCTGATCGAATTCAGCTTCATTCATGCTTGAAAATATGACACTGATGGTGACAGGATGGAAACGTTTTTTGATTTCAATGTTTAGAAGCTGGCCACCAGAAGAAACATCAGGATGATTCATTTTGTTTGTATCAGATAATCTGTGTGTGAATGCGAAAAGTCTTGAAACATGATTTTGGGCCTAATTATGTAACATTATGTTGTAGCTGGGTTTATTTAGACCCAAGGCAGACAAAAATAAAAAGAGGTGATTTGGTGTGTTCAGTGCACTAAAGATAGACGGGCAAAGATTGAATCTCCAATCAAACATTTCCTAAGGCTAAAATGCAAACAGCCTGAAGTCCAACCCTTCTTTTCATGACATAGCAGAGATTTAAGGAAGCCTGCCAAATAATGCCCCTTCAAACTAAAACATGTTGTCAGCGTCATGTGTCCATCGTGTTTGTTTCAGAGTTGCAAGTAGCTACATTTCAACAAAGCTCAGTTAGCTGTTTTCCTGGAGTTAATGCTAAGATAAGCTAACAGGCTGCTAGCTTTAGCTAGAGTCATTCACAAGTTAATACTAACTAGTTAATTTCAGAGTCCATGTATTAAAAAGTGTAGAACTTTAGGATCTTCTCTTGGCATGATGTGCC